GCTCACCCGTTGGGATGAGAGGGAGCCAGACATCAGAGAGAATATTATATATTGTGTACGATTTCAGCAGGTAAATAATAATAATAATAATAATAATCCTTGCATTTGATATAGCCCCTTATCACGTCTTCGAGATGTCACAAAGCGCTTTTCACAGAACATACTGTATGTATGTTTATCGACTATATTTTGTGGGCGAAACCAGGCAGCCAACTGCGCACAGCACTGTCCCACAAACAGTCGTGGATTGAGTGACCAAATTATTATTATTTATTTTATTTTTGATTCCCTTTAAGGGATTTTNGAAGTGAACCTGAAGTTATAAGATGGTTTTCCAATACGCCTAATTCTAGCTACACCCATCAGAATGGTATAACATGTTTGACTATTGCTTGAGCACCAACGACGTTTGTATGTGGTTCAGTTGAGGTGTAATCACCGAGGCAACCTTGAAGCACGAAGCGGGACAAAAAGTCCTCCGGGTAAAAATCGCACCGTTAACTTCATGGCTGATTGTGGGACGTAGTGCGTCAACTGGCTGCTGTGTTCGCCTACAAAATACAGTCACTACGCTTTACAGTGACTCCTGCGAAGCGCTTGGAGACATCTCAACGGCATGGTTAGGCACTGGACCGAATGCAGGGATTATCATTAAAATAATTATTTTAATTATCATTAAAATCCTTAAAAAATAAAGCGCCCTCGACACCCCCGCACGTTTACACAAACTTAACACGGCGCACAAATTGGACCCCAGTGTTGAAGTGACATGGCCGAAGGTTGTCGAACATTACTCCCTGTATTTGCACCGCAACAAAAGCGGAATATTATTGTGTGTCAATTTTAAAGTCGACGTAGAAATATTTTGCAGACAGTGACACCCTCTGGAAATACTCGCTCGCATTTACAGGATTAATCTTGTGTTTATAGAGTGCCCCTTCACGGTTGGTAGCGTCTTGGAGTGCTTAACAGTGGCAATAGTTTGAGCCGGGAATAAAATGGGGTGGGGTGGGATGGGGTGGGGGGGGGTGGTTGGAAGCGTGTTCGAAGAGGAAAAATCTTCAGATACGATTTATTAATTAGTCAAATTAATCACAGGGCTGGAACGTGCTGTGGGAAATATGTTGGTGCAGTCGTTTGCGAAGGTGACCAATATTAGGGGTCACTTTAATAACGTGTTGACTCCTGTTACCTTATTAGAGCTGTCTAAGGCAGCTCCCAATTTTTGTACCACGGCACAAATGTTTTTCAAGAAAAAACACGAATAAACCAATATATAAAGAAAAACAAACGGATTTGGCCCCGGCAACATTCCTCTCTGGCAATTGCCAATCTTTCTGTAACAGATTATAAAAGGATATCAAAGTCCTTTCTTTCTGTTCAACCCTTATCCCACCTCCGCGTTTAATGATTCCCAGTGATACTTGTCACTCCCGCCAACCATCTGCTAATCATTTATTTATTTACAATAGGGAATGTTTTCCAACCCAGCAGGAAGTTGAGTTTTTGTATAATTTTAGTCCAATAAATTTGTATAATTTTAGTCTAATAAATGGGTGTAAATTTCAAATAACTGTATTGTGTGTTTGGGTTTTGCTGCCTGGATTGCATTGTAATAATATTTGCATTTAAGGCATATAACATCAAAACATTTCAGAGAATAAATCATTACTGTCAATTACCGATTACTGATAATTGCTCGGGTCCAAATCCCTGACCGTCTTGTGTCTTGGGACGTCCTCTCGATGTGAAAGGGGTTATGCAAATGCAATTTTGTGAATATAAGTGCAGGGACTACATTTGTAGGGAAATGCAGCAGCACTCCAAGTGTCCCACATTTAACATCCACCCGAATAGGAAGACAGGACGGACCTCTGTTTAGCATCTTAACTTGAGGGAGGCATCGCTAGATATTGCACAACCACCCCAGCACCACACTGAGGTATCAACGTAGACTGTCAGCTTGAGTCCAGATGTGAGTCTCCAACCCACGACTATCTGACCCAGAAGTGAGTCTGCTACCGACTGTGCTCAGCTGACACGACAGCTGTAAGCGACTTATTAGATGGAACCCATTTAAAGTAAGTCTTTAAACTTAAATGGAATATCCTGTGCAATATACTTAACAAGCAGAGCTTGAGAATATCTGGAAGTGATTACAATGAAGTATCGGTCCAATAGGTTTGGATGATATCATAACCCACCATCCCCGCCCCCCCACCCCACCCCCCACACACATACACACACAGCCTAACCATCACCAGACTATGCAGATGAATTACAGTCTTGAAATCACTTGCCTGTAACCATTATTTTAGTAAGATATACACTGTGTGTGCAGAAGAATCGCTCTATTTTGCTTCAATTTCCGTTGCTGTCAGTGCATACTGTGCTGGATGTTAGAAACATTTCTGCTCACTGCGGTTGATTTGTGTTTGGCCGCACTGTAAAAATTACACTGAGTGCTTTCTTTTTATTCCTCCTCCTGGTTTTATAACCCGATGGCCTGATTTCTCCTGATGGCTCTGACTTTATGGGATATGGAACCTGGGCAACACGACTGTCCACTATCGAGCTCAGGTGATGAACCCAAACCAACAGTGACTATTGTCGACCTATTCAACAATAATAAATTTGTCATTTCAATCCACGACTGTTTGTGGGGACGCTGCTGTGCGCAATTGGCTGCCGCATTTCACCCACAATTATACAGTCAATTCACTTTACAGTCTATCCTGTGAAGCCCTTTGAGACATCCAGAAGACGTGAAAAGCACTACATCAAATGCAAGGGTTATTATTATCACTGTCCATTTTTTTGACATGATATGAATTGCAATAGGAAGAACCACAATAAGAATAAAGAGATAAATGGTAACCAAGTTCTTTTGTGTGGAACCCAGACTGACATAATGTTCCTACGTACTGTTTCTTCAGATCCACTTGGCACTGACACGACATACGTGAAGCAGCGAATGCAGAAAGTTATGTGTAGCCAAGAGGACAAGAACTTGAAGACTGTCGCTGGAAAAGGGTAAAGAGGGAAGTTTGTAGGGGTTTTTTTTCAGATAGAGGGTCAATATTTTGTCGCAAGTGGCTACTGAGGATAGGTCCATCACATTTGAAAGGAACTGGATGACTAGTCAAAGAGAATATTCACCGTGAAAGAGTATAAGGAAATAGAAGGGAATTGGGATTGGTACAAATGGCTCTCGGTGAGGAGTTTAGCTCGAACGGTATCCAACTCAATCAGATTTCAAAACTCTGCACAACCTTAAATTTAATAGGATACAGCGACAGCTTTATTTTGTACAATTGTGATCAGCGGGAGTCACTGGATAAGAGCAGATGGAATTACTCATAGAAACACAGGAAAACAAGAGAAGGAGGCCTTTCAGTCCTATCGAGCCCGTTCCACCAGTTTATTTGATCTGGGCAGATCTTTTAAATCGCAATTTCTTGCACCCTCCACCATATATCTTGATGCTTCTATGATCCAAACGTCAGTCTTCCTCTCTTTGAAACTGGAATGTCCGCTGTTTCAGTGATTCTGTGAGCGAGGCCAGGGAGATTAGGGAGGTCAGACAGATAGATATCCAGGCTGGGATCAAGTAACTCAGCAGAGATTGTGGATTGAAACTGGGACCTTCCTGATACGTAGTCAGTGCCACATTATACGTGTAAACCATTTGGCCAGTGGATCGCTGAGATTTGTTTTATTTCTTCAGTCACGTCGTGAGTGTTTTCATACTGACATCGCTACAGATAGACAGTTTTGTGTTAAGCTTTTATGAGCAATACATTTTGTAAAGATCTTAAGTGCTTACGTCTATATTAGTCATCAAGGTTTTTTTTTTAAAAAAAGGCCAACACTTTTCCCAAACCTATTGTATTAAGCTTCTATTAAGAATATTTTTTTTTCACATTGATTCCCAGGCAGACAGGGGAGGTTGTTTGCCTAATGGATGATGTGCTTAGCGAGATGTACTTTTTTATATGACATAACCATCTCTCCAGGAAGATTGGTTTATGCAGTCGGTTTATCAAGTTGCTTCATCTCTGCAACTTGGGCTTGAAGCCAGTCCTGAATAACAGGAGGAAAGGAAAGTCTCCTCTTTCTGCTGACTCCAATAATCCGAGTTGAAATGAGCTTCTCGCGATTTGGGCTCAACGTTTACCATAATTTTGTCCTAAATTGCTAACTCGGTCAAAAGGGATGTGCCGTGAAAAACGCAGCGTTACATGAGCTCATAATCCAGCACACACACCTGAGCACACACACTGAGAACACACTGGAAGACACACACACACTGAGACAGAGACACTGGGACACACACACTGAGACACACACACTGACACACACACACACACACATTGGGATACACACACACTGAGACACACACACACATACTGAGACACACACACACACTGAGACACACACACACACACATTGGGATACACACACATACTGAGACACACACACTGAGACACACACACACTGAGACACACACACACACTGAGACACACACAGACACTGAGACACACACACACTGAGACACACACACACATTGGGATACACACACTGAGACACACACACACACTGAGACACTGGGACACACACACACTGAGACCCTGGGACACACACACACTGAGACCCTGGGACACACACACACTGAGACACACACACTGGGACACTGGGGGACACATTGGGATACACACACACTGGGACACACACACACACTGAGACACACACACTGGGACATACACACTGAGACACACACACACTGGGATACACACACTGACACTGGGAGACACACATACCGAGAGACACAGTCTCTCACACACACAATGGGAGACACAGACACACACACAGTGAGTGACACACTGAGGCAGACAGAGAGAGAGAGAGAGAGAGACACACACACACTGAAACACATACACTGAGACAAAAACACCCCCACACACACCCACCGACAGAGAGAAACACACACTGAGACACACACACACACACACTGACTGGGTGTGTGTGAGTGTGTGTGACTGGGAGTGCAAGTGAGCCACAGGGAACTTGGAGTGAAGAGGGTGAGTTGATGGGTTTACACTGGAGTCGCCTCACTCACTACCTGTTACCTGCTGACCAGCCAATAAGTCAGGTAAGGGTCTCAAGTCTTTTGCTGTCTTACTCTCTCATCACTGTATCTCAGTCCCCCCCCCAAAAAAATAAAAAAAATAAAAAACCTTTAAGAGTTTTTTTTGGGGGTCTTTTTCTTAAGTTTAATTTTGTTGAGTTTTTTTGTGGTGAAAAAAAATAGTACTGCAAACTTTGCTGTGTCTGTATCTATTTGTCAGCCCCAAAACGAGTTGAATGGGAAAAAAGAATCGCAAGGTTTCAAAAAAAAATCAATTGCAAATTACAATTTATATATCTATATATATATATATAGATATATAAAGTTTCCAACAGGCGATACAGCAGGTGCATTGGATTCCTTCAAAGCGGTTAAAACTGCTGTGTTTGTGTGCGATTGCGGTTTAAACTGTAGTCATTTGTAACATTTTATTTAAATTTATTTATTGATTGATTTCATTGATTGATTCATTAATTGCTTAAACGTTTAAATTGTAGTCGTTTGTATTCATCGTGTTGAATCTGGACGGAGCAGTTCTGGAATCAGACGTGCATTGCAAGGATGTATAATATACAGTATATCATATATATATATTATATATGTATGTGTATATATATATATTTCTATCAAAGTGTAGCTCCGAAAACAGTTAAGAAAGTCTGCAGCTTTGTCTTTGTGTTGCAGAGTGTCACTCGCTTGGCTGAAACTCTCATCTTTTTTGTGTTCTTGGATTTTTTTAATATATATATACAGTATTCGAATATACTGAATGTACCGCATGTGTGTGTGTGTTAGTGGAAATATAATGCGGGACATTATAGACATTCGACTAAGATGACAGTAGCAATATGTGCGCTAATCACCCAAATTAAGCTGTTGCTGTTTAGGTTGAAACTAACTGTGTTGGGAGACCGAGTTGGT